TGCAATGACAAATAGTCTCCTGGTAATGCAATAACAATTTAAAGTTATTTTGTGCAAGAACAAATAGTCCCCTGATATCCCTGGAATGATAAACTGGAAATTATACTTAAAAGGCATAAAATAATAGTGAGCAAAACCCCATTGGTAAATGACTACTTGTGGGTCATTTGAGATCACCTCATGATACATCTGTGTAAAATGCTTCATCAGAACCCAGGTTTCACACTGCTTTCTCCGTAAAGATTTACACTGCTCTAAAAAGTGTTGTCCCCATTATATGAAACCTTGGCAAAAACCACACCTCAAAAACTCTGGGCACTTCAGGTGAAAAAAAATACTAGAGCTACTGAAAGTCCAAGAAGCATAAGAACACTAAAAAAAGCACTGGATGAGCACAAACCTATGTTTCACTGCATCCTGTAATACAAAATCTCACTGAACTGAGCAAAACAGCAGTTAAAAGCACATTAAAAAAACCACACAAATAAAATTCTGTAAAACAGCAAGTGAGGAACTCCTGGAAATTGCTTTCATAGGAGGCTGCAGAGGAAGGCAACATAATAAAGTTCAAAATGTGATTAGATAAGTTTATGAAAAACAGATCCATAGTAGATACTAAAAGGGATTGGCAATAACATAAACTCTATTGCACTTAATTGAGCAATGGTGGGTGATGGGAACATATTGAGGGATGTGCTGAAGACACCAGACTTGTGTACTCACCTTAAGCTGCATCTCACCAGCAGCCTCTATTGGAGGCAGGGCCTTATGCTTTGGCGTCACTGGTCCCACATGGGACTAAGGAGGGAGCGTGCACAGACAAAGCTCTAGTAACATACAGGGCATAGAGAAAAAGACACTGAACTGTCTGAGCAGCAGAACTAAATCTTAAGTCTAAACTCATAAATTAGGGCATGTTCCCTGCTGTGAGGTAGTGCTACATCTTCCCCTCTAATAGGGAGTTACAAAATGCAAATGCAGTGGCTCACCAGTGAGGGATAACAACTGCCTGACATAAGGGATCACAGAGCTGGCACTGAGATGTGGGACTAGCTGGGAGGCAAAGGGGAGGACATAGAAACCTGGGTGGAGGTCATATAATAGTGGGACTTGACAGACCATAATAGGGACAGGTAGGAAGTTCAGAAAGAGGTGGGTAGCTTAGGATAGATGCTTGAAATCTAAGGTTGAGGTGACATGGTGTGGGAATTCTCCTGGAAAGAGAAAAATAAGGAAGAAGGTAGGAAACCCCCACCACCTACAGACATTCCTATTTATTTGATTTTGCTTTAGGACTGATCTTTTCTCAGTCCCTGCCTACAGAAATGTGCTATGAACTTGACAGACTGTCAACCAACTATTGTAAGGCAAACTGTCCTGCCACTGATACAGCCATCACTGTGCTAAGTCCTTGATAAGGTGGATGTGAGGCAGATTCCCAAATGCTAAGCATTTCAGTATATCCACTGCTTCTAGGAAAATGAGCAAATTCAGCCAGATCCAAGGGTTTGCTCAGTTAGTAAAGTGTTTTCATACCTACAAACATCTTGTATGTTAACAGTTAATTAAACATGCATCTTCACACATGCATGTACACATGTACACATACTCTTTTCCTAAGTGTTGGTGAAATAAAGAAAGGAAATCAAAGACCCAGGGGGCTGCATTTCTTTTCATAGTCTCAGAACATAGACAGCACATTTAGAGGTAGCCCAAGCTTCCTGCTTACCCCCCTCCTCTCCTGCTAGGTTGACTTGGTCTCAGCTTCTAAAGATAAGGTGGTGGTAAAGTCTGCAATCTTTTTCTAAGAGTGTGGATGACTTTCCTAACTAATGTCAACTGTCAGATTTGCTCTGGTTATGTGTCTCTCTAACAGGCATGGAAAAGTCATGAGAAAGTTGCAATTACCGGTCATATAAGTTTCATTTGCCAGCACCATAAGAAAGCCAGCTATTTCTTTGACAAAAAGACATCTACCCTGATGTTCACAAACCTCCTGAAAATCTGTCTGATGGCAGAGATGTACAAAACATGTAGTTCAGGGCAATTTAATTTTTGCTTTCAAAGACATGCTTGCAGCTAAGCCGTACTATGACAGTGAGAACCGATAAGGCTGTTCCAGACAGCAGGAGGTGGAGATGAGTAAACTCCTTTGCCAACTGCCAGATTGCATGTCTGACACGTTGCAGATGTAAATCCAAGTAACTCAATGGGGATACTACGCTCAATCACACCCGCTGGGGATGTGCCTGTGTTTTCAGGGCAAGAGAGAGTAAAAAGAGAAGAAAGACAAATTCCTTGATATAAACTGGAACAACTTTATGCAAGCCAGGACCCTCCCTGGGTTTCTCTCTGAGGAAGCCCTGAGTGCCTTGCTTGTCCCTTTCCCCCATGTCAAAGCTGTGAGAGCCAAAATTACCATGTAACAACATGCAGCTTTGCTGGAGAGTAACACTATGAATGCAAGAGGAAAGAGAATTTTTGTTATTGCTTCTCTGTGAAACATAATAGTGTTTAGATCCTGAAGGCAAAGATTTGGTGTGTTGGTGCTATCAGCTGAAATATCCTAATCAAGTGTTCTGTCTCCTTGGGAAAAAAAAAAAGATGAACAAAGCCCAAAATGAGAGGAAGCTTAGAAGTGGATTAAATTTCTTGAAGGAAGGGGAAATTTTATAGCTTTTTGTCAAGATCAGATGTACCTCTGGAATATGCCCTTCCATCAAGCATTCACCACTGGGTTCAGTCCAGAGGTATTAGTGAGTGATGATATTGAGCAAACTGGACTAGGTCAGGTAACATTTCTTTCTGGCCCAAGAAAGCAGTATCGTCATCAATATACATACATAGTATACCAGCTTCTGAACGAAGATCTGAAGTGTGGTTTATTACCTGCAATTACACATTATGCTACCCTGGCAACACATAGAGAATGTAGTGCTTCAGGCATCCAAAAGCCTTGGCCAAATCAAGAAACAAAACCCAAGAGTTTTGATCTTTATTCTGTTGCTCTGGCCCCAGATCAAAGTCCCTCCAGTCATTTCTGGGCATAAACAACATAAGTGAGAACATTCTGCTGCGAGTCCAGCAAAATACCTTATTCACACTTGTAGTTCATATTCAGCTTTAGGAGTGGGAATTTTTTAAGTCTTAGAGCTCTTCAAGACGCCTGTGTCTCTAGGTTTTTCTATAATATACTAGCAGTTCACCTCAAAATTAACATGAATTAATAGAGCTTTTAAGACTTTGAGGAAAATAATGCCTTTCTAACATTTAAAAATACTTAATACTCAGCTAAGAACAAATTACCCTTATTTTATCATTTCAAGGACTGGAACATTTTGTTTTTGAGTAAGTTCCACAACTTGCCAAACTTAAAAGCGTTAGACTACTGAGAAAGTTCAGGATGAAAAGCTCAATAATTTTAAGTTTAATTAAAATGCATACAAAAGGAAGAAAAAAAGAGGAAAAAAATAACAGTGTCTGCCACATACCACAGCACTGGACTGTAATTTTTTATTATTATTATTATCTCTCAGATAAAGTTGTTGTAAAGAGTAATGAATTGTGCAATTCTTACGTGGCCAACTGTCAGGACCACAGTGGTACTGCACCAACTGCAAAGATTCAAGCCAGACTCCTGGACACCCTCTCCCTGTCCTCTCCTTTGAAGGATCCGAGTCAAAACTTTGGTCCTCAACAGGTGGAGAACAAGCTGCCTGTCAGGAACCATCTTAGCCAGTCTGCCTGTTATTTGATAATTTTAGCCCTGAAAATGGACAGTTTACATACTTTCAATTTACACAAGATTATTAACATTTCAGAAATAATTCCTGTGGAATGTCATCTTTATAATATGTCAGTTGTGGATACAGAAGCCAGCACCACTGAAAATATTTGTAAGACATCAATTTCCCCTCTTTAGGAGTAGGTATGCCTGTATTTTGTTTTTCCTTTGTGCTCTACCCTGGATGTTGATATTAACATTTCATTCTTTAGAATAAGATTAGCAATACAAGCAGTTCTTGGCTGATAAAACTGATAACAATAAAAGATATAACTCATAGCTTTTAAAAATAAACTGACTGAAAGGCATCTGATTACTGGATCCATAAATATTCAGTGATATAGTAACTTTTTTGAAACCAGGAGGGGTTTTGATACATCTCATTAGGCAATGTGTTTTTAACACAATAGGAAATCCCATTGCAAGCTCCCCTTCAGGCTTTCCGTGGGATGTCTTCTACACGACTAACAAATATAAGAGCTGATAATAATCAAAAAATCACCAGGACCACACAGACATTACAAGTAACCAGAGGAGACTTTGAAGACATCCAGAAACCTTCCCTTACTGTCATTCATCTCTCTGGATAAGCAAACAAAATCCTGACATCAAGACAGAGTTGAGTGGAAGGCAGACATCCTGAGTAGCCACTGGAAATTTGGTACTGCAGAGAAACACAAACTAATCAGACCCTCTGCTTCCTTTTTTTCTGCTGTATTAAGTCAGGGAAAGGGTAAAGCTAGCTTCAGCCCAGAAACTGTACTACCAAGCACCTTAAACATCATATTCAGTGCTGTGGTACTCAGAAGAGGGTACTACCCTCCTCTTCATAACATTAATAGTGTGGAGGCATTTGGGTGCTCTTTATATTTAATATACAGATAGAAACACTAAATTAATAAGCACATCTATGTGCCAACAGCTAAATACAGTTTTTATGGTTTCTAGGAAGCACTTTCCATTGTAGAAGTTTTCAGAGTCTGTGGACACAGGAATTTAGAGACTGAAGCCTCCTCTTCAGAGCCCGTACCCTCTTGCACCAGAGGACAAGCACTGCCCAGAAGTATTAAAGAAATTAAAAGGTTTTTAGCTCCATTCTATACTGCTACTGGTAATTTTGTGTTTGTTTGGGGGTTTTTTTTGGTTTTTTTTTTCCTCCTCATTTGCAGTGTGGCCTGTACCTGCTGTATGATCAATAAGAGTTAAGAAGGAAAGATCAGGGACCATGGCACTTACTCGGGGTGTTCAGGAGACGTGACTTTTTGCAGTGGTAGGTTGCCTCCTGCTCACAGTACTCTGCACTGCTTATCACGGCTTCCAGCTGCTCCGCGCTGCTGTTGTAGTTGAAGGACATGGTGTACGGCTTCTCCCGGTCAGCTCCTTGGACTCTGGTTAGCCCTGTGCTGTTGTGCTGCACTGCAGTCCAGATCTTATCTTCTGTTAAATGAAAAATGATTGAATGGGAAGTTAAAAGCAAAACCCTTTCAACAAGCCGGGAACAAAAACCCGATTGAAATCTAATGCTTTATTGCATTGGAGAGAGCATCAGCAAGACCCTGGGCTCCAAAATGGTTACTTTGTGATGAGGACCAATAGGTCTTCATTAAAGGTCAATGTGACTCACAGAGATGTTTCTCCCTGAACCAGCTCAAACAAACACTACAGTGCCTGCTGAGCAAGAGAGAAACTACAAGTTTCCCAGGAACCACGGGAGATCTTCAGCATCTTCTATTGCAAGGTATCTAAATAAAATTAGATACTTTTCAGCTGACTTTATCCCTGAGAGATAAGACATAATAATATGGCTCCCGGGGGTAACAGTCATCTTGTGCAACCATATCTGTACCTGAGAGAACAGCCTACGCTGTTGTAACAACAAATGGAAGCAGAGAACTGCAGCTGATGATCTTGCACAAACTCACCACAAACCGAAAGCAGTTTCTTGCCAGAAAGCTAAAACTGTTCTTACCACCCAGTTGGAAGTCAGATCACTCATTTTACTCAGTTCTGATTTTTCTACATATAAGTCGAGTGATGTCCTACTTGGATGGTGATACAGAACACCATATGACTTGGCATCTGTAGTTAACTGTAAATATTGATGCTTTTTCATGCTAGTGAGCCCATTTTCATTTCCTTCATTGCATTTACTGGCAGAGCAAGGGATTTTGTAAGTGACAGAAAGTAGAATGTAGGCTTAAGCACAACCTGCACCTTTACAACCTACCCCATGACAAGCATTGGGGTTGGCATGATAATGAGAACATCACACTTGGGAGCAATCAGCTTAGCAGGTAGGCTTTTTGCCAGCTGGTTCTGGGATAACAATGGGCAAGGTAGCACGGACAACCTGAATGTCTAATTTTTGAGCTGATGCGGAGTTAAAGGCAAACTCTTCGATGAGGATTAACTGGATAGAGCCCTGCACGTGCCCTACACTATCACTAATAGTCACATCCAGTAAACTCCCTCTTTATCAAAGATCCTGCATGCCTAAGGAGGACAGAAGATATTGAGAAGGCAAAAATTTAAGGCAGTAATTTTTAATCACCTGATGAGAGCGAGATTTCAATCTCACTTGTAAAATCATACAGACGTTTACAGAGGAAGAGGGGAGATCGAGGCAATAGATTTCTATTTTGTTATTTAAGCTTCATCATTGAAACCCTAGATAACACTGAATTGGATCTTTTCTAAGATGATCTTAAAAACTGTGCATTTAAAAATTCAGATGGTTTTATCAGATTAACTGCCCTGAGTTCTTGCAGAGCATGAGCTTTCCAGTTACTCCCCAATACACTGGCATGATGAGCCCAGTAGCTCCGTGGCCACTGCAAGGCATTGCAGTCAAAGTATTTTTCATTGAGCTACAAATATCCCATAGATTACCTCAACAGAATGTTAATAGGTGTATAAAAATCCTAAATGGACTATCTGTGCAAAGACACTGAGATGGCTTAATGAATTGTTATTATGGTGGCATTCAGATGACAGGCAAGTAACAACAACCATCTGGAGACTATTTAAAGAGGTTTGTTCCAAGACCTGGCTGTAAGTTATAGAGAAATTAACTGGCATTAACTGTAAGAACAGTTTACACTGAGCAAACCACATATTCACTCACAACCTTCTCATAATTTCTGTGATGGTAGACAGTTTGCTCATAGATCTGCAGTTCTGTGGTTCTTATTGACTTCAAAATGCTGCTTGTGAATCCTTTGAGTTTGAGCTCAAAGAAACGTTGCTGCAATGTGTGATACACAAAAGTTAGATTAAAGTCATAAGAAATATTACAAACTTATTGCTTGTAATACCTGTCCTAGTTGTAATCATAGTCAACACTGTCACACTTTACCCTCTACAATCCTGCACATATATTGCTTCCAACACAATATAATTCAATGACTTTGTAACAGACATCTTGTACATCTTAAAGTAGTGATTCTTATCAGTCTCTCTGTGTTCTCTTTTGCTCTCTCAAGGCAATATTGACAAGAACTTAGTAGATTTTTTGGAAGCAGTGGAGGATGAGTTAACTTTCCTGTCACTGAAGCTGGTAGAAGTTTAACCTTTGCCTTAACTGAAATATCTACTAAAAAGACAAACACCAAGTTGTTGATAATGATAATTTGAGGTGAAAAACCAGGAGATAATGGAATAAACTGGTTGTTGAAATTCCAGGTGGGCAGTCAAAAGTATTTCCCTTGCTTAGAGTTCTTAACATAATTTTAAGAAAATGTGATAAAAATCAATGCTCACAATAGTGGCTACAGTGCTGCTCAGGAAGAACAGCAGCTTAAGGCTAGAGTTTCAGTGGTTAACACTACTGTACTTCCCAGGCTGGGCACTGAGAAAGGTGCTGTGTGGGTATGTCAAAAGTCAAAAGCATCAACATCTAGTAATTTAGAAATAAAAAAGGGTTACTAGGAAAAACTTACTAAAAATAGCCTAGCATAAAACTGTCTTCCCAAAAAGTGTTGGAAATTTAATTGACATGTTTGAAATGAGGTTGGACAAGACATCAGCAAACATATTGTTAGGAGCAAGCACTCATTAATAAGTGTGTTGAACAGGCAATGTGACAGGTCTCTCTCTTACTTTCCTCTATGATTTTTCATTAATTTTCAACAGTCTTGTTATCATTACAGCTGCACTCAGATGTTCCTCTGTGATCTGAACTTTGACACTCAAGAACTGCTTTTAGATCTTTTAGAAATAGCCTAACCTATTTTCCATCTTCTAGTTTATGAAGGGAAAGGAAAAAATAAATTAAGTTTCTTTCTGTGCTCAAAGTAATTGTGATTTAGGAAATACCTCAGAATGGAATTAAAAAAAAAGTTATATCACATGAAAAGAATCCTGGAGTTACATTTCAGAGGTTTCCTAATCTACACATGCCTGATCAGTTATGCTTAATACTTTCACATATTAGATCTGTGCTTTGCTGGTCACTTCAAAGTTTCCCTCTATGCTTCATCTTTGAAGTAAAGGTAACCATCAGTTCAGCTTCTCAAAAAAGATATGTGTTTGTCTCACTGATCTAGTGAAAGAAAGTAACAGCCACCAGCAAGCAAACCTCAGACCAAAGGGGTTGCTCACAAAGCACACAAAGCCACACACAACCTGCTGGAAGAAGAAATGATTACACTCACAACACAATTAAAAAATAAGAGAAAGTTCCTCCTTTCTAAAGGACACCCTTCTGTTTACATGTAGCAAATGAGCCTGAAAATGACTTAAATTTTAGTTTGCTTTGGACAGAGTGGGAGAGCCAACACTGCTCCCTCCTGCTCCCTCCACTGACTGAGAGAGAAGTAACTAAGAGCTGGAGGGCAGGAGACCCTTGAACCATTCCAAAACAACAGCAAGAGCATCGTACCTGCTTCCATAAACCAGGAACCCACTCAAAAATAATCCCAGATTTTCTTCTGAAGACCATTACATTTCAGGTCAAATCTTAGGGTTTATTCAAATACCATTTTCTCCACCTCAAACCTGGCATCATTTAGAAAAAAAAAATCATTCTGTTTTCTCAAATTCACTTACACAAGTTCTGCTAAGGTTGCTCTCAGAATACAACTGTCTGCCTCAGAATTAATTCAAGGAATTACACCCTTACTGCTCAATCCACGTATACTCTGAAGCCCACTGAGAACAATCCGTGAGCTTGCACTTCAGGCATGGTTCAGGACCTATGGAGGACACGGAGCTGCAATCTGGATGTGCACACAGATGACAATAACTAGAAGGCAGTGCAACAGCTGTCTGCAACTTCTCTTCATGTTTTGCGTATGTCTTTACAGAGGCACACCTCTGCATCAATAACACTTACAGATTTTGAAAGTGGGGCTTCAAATACTGTTCCTATTTCATAATGCGAGGATTTTTTGGTTTGTTTTGTTTTTAATCTCTGCTCTGTTTTGTTGACATTGTATTTTAGGCAGTGACACTGTAATCACAGATTCAAACCAAGCTGAAAACTGTTAAACTAAACAGATAAAGCTCTCATTTCGTTTATTTCAGTGAAGAAGTTATCATTGTATTTTTACATCTGTCCATACTACATGTTTTTTTCCTGTTTACTCAACTTAACAAGCTATTCTTGCACTTTTGAATCTGCATTGAGAATTAAAAAGCTGCTCTCCAGGCATAGATTACTGTTTATTTTTATCTTCCATTATTCCACTTTATTATTTTATTACTTTCTCAGCTTGGTAAAATTTCAAACTACACACAAGCTGAAAGTCATTCAAAACCAAGTGGGAGAGTGCAGTCACATCCTCTACTGCATAACCTGGAAGAGTTTATTGCAGCCTTAAAAAGCAGATTTCCTAAATGCTTGTTAAATTGTTTCCATAATTCAAAGGTGACAATGCTTTAATTTCAGGGTAATGCTACAGCTTTGCACCTTCACAGTTTTATTTAATGGTCCAATTCACTAGGACATTGTGCTGTCTGTATTTGGCCCTAGGAGATGCTTTTACAGCATGGGACTGCAATGCATTAAACACATTTTAGACTCTCTGTCTAGCCTCGCCCATAGTTTTATCATCTTGCTGGAAAACTTCAAGTTGCTTTTGACTGCACACAAATTAAATTGTGGGAAATTAGAGCAGCTGGAAAACTGGCTTTCAATGAATTCTGTATTGCCTAATTCTCATTTTTATTCTTCAACTTGGAATATCCCTGTGAGCACATTCCACCCATACAAACTGCATCATTCCTTTGTGATTTAGGAGGTTTGTCACAAAACAAGATTATTCAGACTGATTAAATTGCCAACAAGCCAAACATAAGGTAAATGCTACATGAGAGAGAGAAAAATAACTCTCAGAGCTCATACAATGCATTTGTGTCATGGTGCTCTACATTGAATGCCAAATTTTATCCTGAACGCTGTACCTATAACTACAAGAATAACCACAAAAAAGGTAGAC